GTTGCCACACGTTTTACCTGAATGAAAGAAAATAAATATGCATAGGTGTTGGAACGTGTTTAACCAGTTCTATCACATAATATGTGATAATGACTGGCACTAATATTGTCCTTTAAAAAAATGATATTGGTCCGTTGTTGAGTAGAATATTTTCTTCCCCATAAATCCTACAATTGTATTCTTCCAATAAAATCGTATTCCAATATTTAACTTAAACAAACCGTTTTTCGCATATCACAGAAATTATAGATAATATAGGGGAAAATTTGACCGTGGATCTCCAGAGAATACGTGTTAGACACAGTTAAGACAGCAGTTTATATATAATTAGGTGCATTTTGGTGGTTGTGTAATCAAGGTAGCCTATTCTAAAAATAGCTGGTCGGATCTTTTTCAGAAAGCTAGCTGTAGATTTCCCCAAGCTCACGGGGTTAGGCCACGTGATTGTTCCGGAGGGTTAGGTCTTTGGTTAGAGTTAGTGCTAGCCCTTCAGGAAATCTGCAGGTGGCCTTCGGATATAGATCTAACCATAAATAGCGATAGAATGAGTGAGAAATAAAATACCGATGAAACATAAAGTAAGTTATTTAGAATTGATTTTATGGTATTCAGTTTTGTACTTCAACAGTTTTATACCCAAGACAAAATATAAATAGTATGTCTAGTCGGTGATCACGTGGAGTGAAGTATTGATAAAACGTCACAAAGAGTATGCTTTCGCCGTAAAACGGGGTCGTCTGCTAAAAAGACAACACGCGATTTATCATCAGCCAATCGTTCAACACCATTTTCAAATGGTCAATATAATGAAGCCTTCTTTAATTGGCATTTAGTAATTGAACATGTTAACACAAGGTACAATTTTATGGATACACAATTACTGAGTTTAATAGTAAGCGACGTTTCAACGAGGATACTCATTTGCTTGATAAAGAAGAGAGTATCCTCGCCGAAACATCGCTTAGTATTAAACTCAGTAATTGTGTATCCATAAAATTTTATCTTGTGTTAATTATGAAACCTCTTTACACAAACTTTTCCTTTTAATATGTGTGTTTATCATCTAGTCATTGGTTTAGTCATTAAAAGGATATCCAATATTTTATTCCTGTAATTATTTTTATCTGTAAAAATATTTTATAATAAGAAAACTGAATTCACTTATATCCAAAACTGAATTTGCCTTTTTTTGAAACAGAAAATCATATAATAAGACCAAGTTGAATTATAATAAAGAGAAGACATTAGACTACAACCAGGTGTTATTAAAGATAAAAACTTCAACTGAGAATTTCCAGTACAAATACAGAGAAAAAAAAGAAATAAAAAATTGAAAAAGAATTATTATAAATATATTAAATATGTAGCATATAGTAATGTGTTGAACATTTAATGCCAGAAAGAAAACAAAGAACTTGGCACAACTTTCACCAAGAAGAATATAAAGATCCATTGATAGAACATGCATTTGATGTCATGCATTTGAACGATGGCATGCATGGTAAAAGAGAATGAAAGAAGGAAGAAAGAAATTTAAAATTATACAATCAGTTAATTTTAAAGTTGGAAAGTGTAATGTTAAAATACTTACCAATTGCTCATCATCCAACTAAGTCAGGGTAGTCCAATTTTCAAGGTATTGATGTCGCGCTCCAAAATCACGACCAATCAAATTGATCATCATCGAACTTAGTCAAGATATTGATGTACTGAAACTATACTCCGAGTTTTATGTAATGAAATTATACACCATTTTGCACCACTCTCACTCAATTGGAACCCAAAACATCGACGCAGATAATGGTCATTATTGAACTTGGACAAGGTACTGATGTAATGAAACTGTAGAAAATGCACATTTTAGAACTTAGTCATGGTTTTGATGTAATGATATAAGCAAAGCTTTGCCATTTTTTACTGTCGATCTCCACAGTATCGACCAATCAAATTGTTTATCACTCTGCTTAGCCTGAGCCGAAATGGGTTATTATCGAACTTAGTCAAGGTATTGATGTAATTAAAACATCACTCGGACTTAGAAACAAAGTTATCGTGTCCCAAAGCATCAACCAATCAATGGTATCGTGTCCCAAAATGGCATATCTCTGTTTAGCCTAACCAGAGAAAGTTGTTTTGTTCCAAATTGCTTATCGCTACTTCGCCTTAACAGAAAATTCTCATTATCGAACTTAGTCAAGGTATTGATATAATGAATCTATACCCGGGAGTTTTATCGCTCTCATCCAGTTAGAATCGTGTTCCAAATTGCTTATCTCTGCTTAGCCTTAGTGAAAATGGGCATGACCAAACTCTGGCAATGCATTACCCTAATAGACACCCACATCGAGTTTGATCATTCTACCTCATTTAGAAGGAGAGTTATTGTGTTCCAAAGTCTCGACCAATCAGATTGAAGTCTGTACTTTGCCTAAGCAGAAAATGCTCAGCATCGAACTTTGTTAAGGCATTGGTGTAATGAAACTATACACGAAGTTTCACCACTATCACTCAAGTAGAATCGACGTTGTCGAGCTCCAAAGTCTCGACCAATCAAAGTGCTTATCGCAAGGCGTACCCCAAGCTATAAGTAATTCGCTGGACGATCGTGGCTGCAATGAAATCCCATGATTGGTATGGCTAATCCGAGCCTTCGACAAAGAAGATAAATTGAAAGTATAGTCTATCTTTATACTTGTCTACTGTCTACGATATCACCCATGGTGGAAGTGGACATAAGAAGTAGTATCTTTATTAATTAGAACTGTAGCGTTCATATCGTTGACTAAGCAACAAATAACTGTTATCAATGAAAATATACGACATTAATAAATCATTGTCGTCAGTTTATATACATAATGTGTTTTAATTAAAATTGTTAGTACCCAGGCAGTAGTCATCAAGTAGGTGGTTTATTTTCACTAAGGTGTTAAAATTTTGACTATTGAATGATATACACCACTATTGTCCAGGTTTGTATATTCAATAGTGATGGGTGTTATAAATAGTCACACTTTTACCCCAGTAGTGACAATTTTTACAACTAATTAAACACCTAGTTAATGACAACTGTATAATTTCTAACCACTTTCTATACATACTAAACATTAGTTTAGAATACTGACCACTTACATGATTAAATGACAAAAATGTTCATTACTAAAAGGCCTAGCTTCATTAGTCAACGGTATCAGCTTACCAGTGTAGGTTACTGTGGACAGCGACCCATTTCTTTCGACAAAACAACGAGGACTTTTTCTTCTAGAGTACGTAATCGTAAATGTGTTTTGTATACGAGACTATTTTCACAGGATTTTGTTTGCACAGGGGTAAATTTGCTATCCTTAGCTTCACAAAGCCCGATCACTATGATTTGGCGGATTCTATGGGCTAAATATCCAGTTGTTTGCAGACGACACCCAACTTTATAATATTGAATTTGACGCAGGCTCACAACATTCCACAATATAGAACTTTATCTCACAGAATTTTTTGCGTGGATGACATAACATTTCTTAAAATTAAATCCAAAAAAAACTAGAACTGTTAGTGAAATGAAATGGGGTCTGTGTTGCTCCGACTGGGCTAATGAAGACGGGCATACGCCATACAGTGTGCTATGAGGGGAATCGTATTCCAAGGGTAGCTATCGAAGAATCAATTCCGGTGGATTGTGTATGGTTTTGAATTTTTTAAGTCGTTTGATTCCGTACATCTCCGATGTATACACTGGTCCTCGGTGTTTCGTCCCATCCGAACGACCAAACAACTGTCCTTGCCAGCCCCCCCCCCCCCCCCGTGCTGCACCACTGACAAGGGGAAACCACGCCGGAAAATCTCGATGAAAATTCTCGGCCAATGCAGGGATCGAACACGCGACCTCCAGACTAGCGAGCCAGCGTCTTTCACACTTAGCTAACGTGGCTCCAGAACTAATTGAAACCAAGCAACAACTCTGTAAAATTGATCACAAAGCTCGAAAGATTGGTGCTATATTAGACTCGAGCCTATCGTTTAAAGATCACATACAAAGTATTTGCTCCACTACCATCTGTCATATAAATATATCGAATTGCAAATTAAAGAAAAACTCATTCATCTCAACTAAACTAGATTGTCACAATGGTTTACTATATGGCTTACCAAACTACAACAAACATCAACACATCTCCCCTGTATTGCAAGCCCTGATCTGTAAATAATCACTGAATATAACAGCACCTAAGAAACTGAACTTCGGTATTAACACACTTTATAAATGATATTATTATTTTGTTGGTAATGTCTCTATGTATTGTTGGTCACAAACTGCCTATTCAAGCAGTTCATATGTGAAAATTTTGGGTGCCAAGTAGTATCTGTGACAAACATCAACTAATACTCCCCAGTTATGAAAGCTCCATCTTTCGGACATCCAGTGGTTCTTCAACTATGTTTTAAACAGAGACATTTCATCGTCAAGTCACAATATTTTCGAACCTAACTTTCACGCAGGTTTTCTTCTGATATTTCCTCAATTTAAAAACCCAACCCAGAGCAAGTCCTAAGAACTTATCTACGTCTTTCCCGTATGAGCCTGATCATTACTACGCATATTTCCAAATATGCGCTACTTGATATATGAGAGAGAGAGGTTTAACGTCCACTCGACACAAACTAGGTCATTTCGGGACTAACACAAGGTTCAATTTTAAGTCAACAATTCGCTTGCGCTTGGGGGTCTTTAGCAGTTGGAGGAAACCGGAGGACCCGGAGAAAACCCACGAGATTAGACAGGCAACCCTACAGGCGTCACGTACAGCCGGGGAATCGAAACCACACCAGTTGACTCAATGACAGGCCTAACGATTCTTCGCCCCCCCCCCCCCAAAGTTGGTATATGATTACCGTATATACAAGGCTTTATGCATGACCGAGATCAAAATGGTACCTAAATTACCATCTAATGAATATATACTAAGTCATATCTTTGTCAAATATTAAAAAGGATTATAATTCCTGACCTTGGCGCCATTAGGCTTTACACTGCAGTTATATTGAATAATCTACGTGATACATTCTCACCTTGAAAACACCAACACAGCCTGTTAAATACGGGTTCAATGGTTTAGATATATTTATGTATGTGTGTGTAGCATTGAATATATATTTAGCCAACTAAAATATAAACGCGGGGTCATCTTGGGGTTATTTACACAATGATAGTAGGATAGTGTCTAATATATAGGACATGTTCAATGGAAGTCGAAAAAGGCAACGTATTTTAGCCAGACGTTAAAACTCGCGTTCAGATCAGGGCGGTATAATATCTTACGACATACAAGTTGCTTTGAGACTAAAATGTCAAATGAACATGACTACCAAAGGATCTTTTACGCCAACTGCTATTTATACACGTCATCACGACACCAAATTGATGTTGGCGTACCATTATTTCAATTAATGAATGGTTATAGTGCCAATAGTACATAATGCATGTCTGTATTTAAGTTGCTTGATGGCCTATATCGATATATTATATATACGACAATGACTTTAGTATTACCTTTATCGTTAATAGTAAGTGCAGGGGGACCACACCACACATAATTTACACAAAAACAAATATACGGACAAGACACAACACGCAGAAATCACAAACAAACGAACAATTCAAATTGAATGGATCCGGGGGCTAGCTGTAAGCGTCCACTACATCCTCTGCGAATTGATGTCCACAATTGTTCACCGTATTTTAATCACTGATACGATTACATAATACCTGATATCGGTTTATGACCACCACGTGTACGTAAGAAAGTTGTGAATGTTTCGGATTTAGTCGATAATGGAATTAGCGTCCTATTTTTCTACCTTTAAGGATACATTATGTAAGATTTAGATAAAGAACTGACAGTTCTTGCTACATGTATAATAAAAAAAAGAAATGAAATGGAGTTTAACGTCCTACTGTTCTGCTCCTAACCTGGGCTAATGAAGTCGGGCATACGCCATACAGTGTGCTATGAGGGAAATTTTGCCCGGACAGCGGCACTACGGCCTACTCTTATATCGAATTCCAACTGCCAAGGGATCTTTTACGTGCACGCCAATGTGTACACGGGACCTCGGTTTTTCGTCCCATCCGAACGACTAGACAGTTTTCCTTGTCAGCCCCTTACGTGTATAATAGTTAAACGACAGATTAGATAAGGAAAAGTTAATATCTTGAAAATTTCGGTCAAATTCCTTTATTCAGAGCAAAGTTTTTGTCGTTTGCAGAATAATGTAGTCTCAATTGTCATTGCTACCGTTGTTACGATAAGAAACGTCTCGATTATCCGTTTTTAAATCAAATGAACTGCCAAACGTATTTGAATCTGTTGAAAATCAAAACCATCCGAAGTTCTAGAGAATTGATTTTGTAAATCAATGTCAACTTAATGATTTATATAAGATTTGAGACCAAACGAAAAATCTACATTAGACAGATTTAGCTCTTGAATGACACATCTTTAAGAAAGAGTGAAACTATTTCTATATCACTGATCAGGACATTGTAACAAATCTATTATACAATATTGAATAGGGAAATAACTGGGTATTGTGATGGTGTAACCATTGTGATAAGGTTGAAAATATGAAACGTACTTAGTTTAGGTGATATGAAATGAAATGGGGTTTAACGTCCTACTGTTCTGCTCCTAAACTGGGCTAATGAAGACGGGCATATGCCCTACAGTGTGTTATGAGTGACATTTTGCCCGGGCAGCGGCGTTACGGCCTACTCCAACTGCCAAGGGATCTTTTACATGCACGCCAATGTGTACACGGAACCTGGTTTTTTTGTCCCATCCGAACAACTAGACAGCTATCCTTGTCAGCCCCCCCCCCCCCGTCCTGCATCACTGGCAAGGGGAAACCACGCCGGAAAATCTGGATGAACTTTCTCGGCCAATGCAGGTATCGAACACCCAACCTCCAAGCTAGCGAGCCAGTGTCTTACCCACTTAGCCACCGTGACCCCCCCCCCCCCCCCCTTAGTTTAGGTAGTCACTATATTACACACATCTGGTTCTTCAGTACCTTCCCTGTTTAAATATGGGAAAATGCTCAAATCACATATAATACCTTCCACCTCCACCCCCTTAATGATTAAAATTTCGGGATCAAGGTGGTTGTCTTTAATTTTGATGAGGCTGTATATATATATATATAGACCTCCCAGTTTACTATATTGTATTGCTTGATAACGATAAGAGGATACTTATCGAAACGTTGTGCTTGTGTATAATAAACCAGTGATTGGTTCCCATATAACTGTGTTAGTTCAATCAAACTGTATCTGGAGAGGAAGATGGCCGACAACCCGACATTACGACATTTTTAATGTCATATTGTCAAATTTCTTTATTGTGCGTATTTCTTTTCGGGCGCTTAGCTGTTCTTTATAGATTTAGTAAATATTACCCAAAACTGATATGTTCTCCTGTGCAAATCCTTTTCTACAATCATCCATTTGTCAGGAACATCCAGGTCTAAATTTCAAAACTTAATAACAGGCACCGTGGTCAGTTTGGTAAAGTGTCGTTTATTTTCGGGGACTAAATGATCTAAGATGAAGACAATGGAAATGCTGTTATTTCGAATGATCTGTGTAAAATATTTTATGTAAATGGTAAGGTAGTTCATAATATTGTGAATTATGTAAATTTGTTAAAACTTGTGGCTGAAGAAGTGATTGCCTTTAGACATTGTGTAAATATAACAGGCATTTGTACATTTACCTTAATGCAAAGTGATGCTTTCCAAAATGTTGGTAATATTTGTCATAATTCCTGTTTCAACGCAACAACAGAGTGAGAAAGGGTATTTAATCAACCAAATATTATTAAAGTATTTGAGGCATATTCTCTGAATGGTATTTAGTACTTAGATCATAATCAAATAATATACTATTTATGGATAACAATTACTATGGTTTATTTTACTGCGATGTTTCAACAGGATTTCATTAAATTTATTTGTGTTGATATATGTCTGATAACGACTTAAACCATAGTAATTGTTATCCATAACTACGCTCGCGGTATGTTATTTGGTTACATATTTGGGACAATGGTATCAAAGGGAGATAACGTAAAAGGGTGTCGGGGGGGGGGGGGGGGCGGTGGCCAGCAGGTTTGAAGTAAAGGGGCGTTTGGGGATCAACCCAAGTTTCTTATCGGAAATTCTCACTAGTTAGGTGGCCAATAACCACGGGACTACAATTGCCTGGTTCTTGACGACTGGCGTTTATACGTTTTGTTTCACGCCATTGATCTTATATTGATGCTGGAAATATCGGAATGCTTTGGTAACGGTGGTTCGGGAACATTGATGTACTTTACCATAAAAAGTTGTTGCCATTCTTGCGACTCTTTCTTCAAAAGGATTCGTGAAACAGTACAACGACCCGACTAAACTGTAGTCACATAGATGTTATTTGGCTGGAAAGCTCCATTTTGTCAGCTTAATAATGTCACCGGTCATTGTGATACACCCAGTTAACAGGGGTCTAGTATATAGACTTATTTCATTCAATTCTATGAAGTTCTGTAGACATATATATATGAGGATAGCTGTATTCTCCGACCTAGTGTCTTACGCCGAGACAAAATAATCGGTGGGTCTTTTTATCAAGGGAAGTAAATGCATTTAACAAAATTTGACTTTGGATACAAACCACCAATCGCCACGAATGCAAATCCACTGTTCTATCGCCTTTTGCATAGCGATTGTGTTTTCATTTTGGTGTCGAATCTACGAAAAGCATTTGAATTTACATTTTCTGCTAGGTCTTGGTCACTATTAAAGATTTAATAAGTTTGCCATGCTGAAATGTAGGGCGAATATTTAAATGTTTACGAATAGGCTACTTCCAATTTGCATATTTCGAAATTGGTATCCATTACGAAGCTTCAGAACGGAATAGTAAAAAAAAAATTTATCCGGATATCCAACATTTATTGACAGCTGACGAGATGTAGTGAAATATTTATGAAAATCACTGTAGAAAGATAAGTTCTGTAGTAATTTCGGACTTCCTTGTTGTGTTTCCCTTTGTGATCCTAAATAAAACTACAGGTTAGTTGGTTTCTACAACTTTTTTGTTAAACTTGTTGGCTTCGAAGGTCCCTCGTTCTCAATAAAGCATAGATCTACTCGGAATATCTGGGTGAGCTCTGATCAATTTCGCTCAACATCCTCTTTTATAACCCCCTTATTTCTGTACGTTATAGACTGACCTTGGCGTTAATTTCCTTCCCAAATATGGAGTAAACACCCCCATTCTCCCAAGACGGGGAGGGGGGCATTGCTACATTTGGTTTGGTCTACCAAACACATGTCATAAACAGATGGAATTTGATGAATATTTTGACAATGGTAAGGATTTTACCAAAATATCACTGTTTTTTTATATATAAATACATCATTCCCTTTCATTAGTCCGTGGGATTTGACTGCATATAAATTGTGAACCAATAATTAGTTAAAAATACACTACGGTCTTAAGGACCAAAATATTACACAGTCGTCTGTTAAGCACTTGGGCACATTGATCAGCAGTGAATTTTCGCTAGACCGCTACAATCACTGATAAAGATGACATCGATGCGACTTAATGAGTCCCAAATATTAACCCTTTTCTTCCGTCAAATTAAATTCTAAAACATTTTTTTCATTTATTAGAAAAATAAATAAAGACGTTTGAATTATTTGTAGGTAAAAATCATTTCTTATTTAGTGTAAATGGGCATTAAAATAAGTAAAATTTACCATTTAGCCCGAATCAGTAACGTCTTATGTAAACAATGCACGCTCTATTGAGCCAATGATTGACGCCACGTGATGTGACGTCACGTGTCGAAACAGTCATCTGTTAAAGAGATATTAGAAGATCTCTGTGAAACAGATTGGCACTTAGGGTCAAGACCATTTACTATTCGACAATAATAATTTGATTTTATTTGTTCCACCCTCGTATCACAGGCACTTGAAGGGATTAAAATAAAACTTCTTACTACTGTTTGACTATATGTATATTACAGTATTAACAA